GGGGCTGGGCTGGGGGAGGCGGCGATGGCCCCGGACTTGGGGGCCCTTGGGGATGCAAGGAGGGGTCTGATGAAAAGGGAAAGTCCCCGGCTGGCCGAGTTCTTTCTGAAATTAGGGTACCTTAGAAATCTGACTCTTCCAGAAGCCTCTGGGCCCCAAGGCCACAAGGGTATAGGGGTACCCCTCTTCCTCCACTGTCAACTGAGAATTGGACAAGTCCCAAGGAGCCAGGTCCCCACACTGTCCCACTCAAGCAGCTGAGAGGAAAGATAGATAACCCCCATCTTCCCCAAAAGACCTGAGTCAAGGCCTAAGATCTCAGAGTCAAGGCCTAAGATCTCAGGGCCCGAGGTGGTTGTGAACAGAAAGGAGTGACAAAAGCTCCTGCCATCTCCAGCCCAAGCTACTCTAGGGATCGTCAGGGTGGGCCCTGGGTCACCCAGAAGTCCCAGAGGGAGGACAGGCAGTGGGCTGTGGTTTCTCGGGGCTGTGAAGGGAAGAGGGATTGGCAGAGCTGTCGGGCCTGCTGGGCAGGAGGCATGCACACACCCAGTGCCTCTGATTCAGAGAAGGTTCTCGGGGGCGGCGGGAATGACACAGAGGCTGGTGGTGTACCCTGCCGGGAAGAGTTTCTACAGAAGTACAGACATTTTACCTGCCTGGGCTTCCCTCACCTACACCGTTTGGCAAAAGTCCTTCATGCTGACTCTGGGCACCTTATCCTAGGCTCTCCATCCTAAATGCTGTTTACTAGGTAGAGGGTAAATTGAGGAAGGTGACAGATGTGGATATTTCCTGGGCCTGAGATATATAGTGACAGGGCAAGATAACCCAGGAGTCAATTCTCAGGCATGGAACCTACTACCCTCAGCCCACGCAGCTCAGGCTGGAGACATGTCTGCCCCGTTTGGCCCTCGTGGACTGCCCAAGACCAGAAAGGAGCAATATGGCTGGTAGATGGGCACCTGTGTGTGTGTGTGGGGGGGGGGTTGCCAGCTTGAGGGAGTGGGTTGGGGGTGGTTGGCTTTTGGGGTGAAGGTGTTGGATGGGTGCGCAGAAGGGCAAGGGTGAGGGGGGCAGCTACCTCTGCTGAAGATGGGACTCTCGTAGGGGATCTTGTTGCGAGTCTCCAGACTGGAGCAGTTCCAGCGCTGGTCCCGGAACTGGTGCTGGCACTCATGGATGGCGATCTGGATGCCCTGGATGGCGGAGGCAGCCACGTCAGGGTGGCGCACACACACTTCCATCTGCCGCCTGCTCAGGCCCGGCAATGTCAGGCACACCGTGTTGGCATTGAGCACGGGCTCCGGGGGGAGGCGGAGGCCCAGAATGTCGTTGGGTGCAGACCTGCAGGCGGTGGGGTGTGGGTGTGGGTGTGGGTGAGTGTTTTGGGGAGCTAGGAGGGCCCCACTTAGCAATTTACACTCTCTCCCAAAGGCCATAGTCCCTCTGTTCCAACCTCTTCTAAAGGTTAGGCCTATAGGTAGAGTCCTAAAGCATTCTCCTGTTCTTGGTCCTCTCATCATCATTTCCTCCAACACCACCTGCCCAGCTGCACACCCACACAAGTTAACATGTAAATGCACACACATCCAAAATGCCTGTGCACATAGTATTTCATAAGTACATCCTGAGGCAGAGATGCTCACATACGTAGCGTTCCCCAGGAGACCACTCCCAGCGCATGTTTCAGACAGTCCCATTCACACAGGCATACTTCTGCACACATTGAGGGGCCACACAGACCCAGGAACTCTTACACACACGTGCACTTCAGACAGAGGTATACACACAGACACTCACAAGCATGTACATGTGCGCATCTTAACGTATATCGATCCGTAAGCTCTCAGTCACACCCATGTGCACACACAGACTGCTGTTTACAGCATAACTAGCAGGGTTCACAAAATTACACACACACACACACACACTGAGAACCCTTCCAGCTTCAGTGTCTCAGGGACCCCACCTGAACTACTCCCTTCCAGCCCCCCACCCACGCTCCTGCCTGGGAGTGATATCCAAGGTGGAGCAAGGCAGTCTGAGCTTTCTCCTGGGGTGGGGGTGCATGCCCCCGGCCTGGCATGGACTCCAGGTTGGCACTTGTTTCCCCCCACACACATACACACTCCTCCGCTTCTAGTAGCCTTCACTTTCCTGGGCACTGCCTTGTCTCCCTGGGCTGCCCAGATTCTGTCACCAGTTCAGCCCCCTCCTGTGAGGGCAGTGTCTTTCATTGGGTACCAGCACTTTCCTACGACACTGTCCCTCCCTCCTTCCAGGGTCCCCTGCCCCGGCGGGAGCACCAGAGGCCCCCCGTGGCTGGGGGTCCCAGCTCTCCAGGAGGGCGGGGCATACCTGAGGGCTCACCTGGGCACGGCGGCAGCCAGCAGCAGTAGGAAGAACAGGAGCGCGCAGAGCGCGGGCCGCGGCTGGGGCCGAGGTCGGAGCCGCAGCCAGGGGCAAGGGTGGGTGCTGCCCATGGCGCGCGGGCCGTCACGGGCCAGGAGTGGGGGGCTCACAGCCCGGCGGGACCGGCGGGCCAGGGGCGACGGCGCATGATCCGCGGGGGTCGGGGCGGCTGCGACACACAGCTCCGACTCGGGTCACGGCTCCGGGAGCAGACGGCGCCCGCCTCCCCGCTCCATGGGGCAGCGCCCCCGGGCACCGCCCTCGGGGTGGGGGGGCGGGCGCACCGGGCACCTCCTGGCACAGGGGTCCAGGGAATTTCCCGAGGCCCCCCTGCGACAACTCCTGGTACCTCTCGAGGGGGGGGCCGGAGGTGCTGCGGGCTGGGGGCGAGAGGCTGGGGTGCCGGGGAGCCCCCCAGAGCAGCGCCGCGAGCCTGCACTTCCGAGGGCGTGAGAGGTGGGGGGGGACGTGGGGGGGCGGCGCTGTCTGTGCCCGGCCCCACCGCCCAGAGAGTGAGTGACTGTCCCGGCTCGGGGAGCTCTGCCGCCTCCCCTTTCCTCCCCCCAGCCCCCGCCCGAGTGTCTCAGGGCTCTACCCCAGGTGACGTCACGACGGGGGGTGGAGGCGTGTATGGGTCCTGAGGCCACTGCGTCCGCTCAGGACTCCGGGTGGGAGCGGCGGTGGGAGGGCAGGGGAAGGAGAGGTGCTGGGGGTCTGTGCGCGCGTGCACGTGGAGGTGCCAGTGCCAGGGCGCGCTGGTTTGTGTAAGAAGCTGTGTGTTACTGGGGAATGTGTGTGTCTGGCCGGGACACAGCTGCCGGGGAGCAGTCCTCCCCAGTACACACACCTGCAGGGGCTGGAGGGGAGGGGCTGTCCCCCCTGCTTGCCTTTCCCACCTCAGGAGGGACTTCCCAGGCTTGACTGGTGTGGCAGGTGTGGGGGATCCTGTAAAGGGGTTTGGCAGCCTCTGGATTTTGCTCTTCTTCCCTGTGTGACCCTAAACAGGTGCCTCGTGCACACTGAGCCACCCTCTGCCCCTTTGTGAAATGAGGTTACTGAGGCCCACCTCATCTAGTCAGTAAGCCAATGAAGGTAAAAATGCTGGGACTCCAGTAAATGCTTGTTTGGGAGCAGAGCTCCTTGGGGTGACACACCCTGGGAGAGGGATTAGTGAGTCCTTTAATTCCAAAAGTGTGCTTTGGGGGTCATCTTACTTTGTCCCTTTTTATTTCACAAGAAAATAATGAGGCTCAGAGAGGGTCATGACTTACTCAAGGTCACACAGCAAATTAGTCCAAGAGCTAGAACTGAGCCCAGTTCTCTTGACCCTGAGCATGGTAGCAGTGGCCCCCACACTGAGTGTTACTTGCCTGGGCCTTTCTGCAGATGCTCCAGATCTTGCCCTGGTCCTGCTACCTGTACTTGGTCCTCTGAAAGCCACCCCAAACCAGGCTCCTAGCTCAGGCCCACTCCTCTCTGGGATTTTCCTCTTGTCCTCCCGCCCCGGCTGAATACTGAGCTCATCTCAATATGGGGTTAGTATACTAGACCCAGGGAAGGGCCTGAGAAACCAGAGGGTTGGGGAGAGAGGCTCTGTTTCTGGTTCCAACCTGGGCCCTGATAGTGAATCCTACCCCTGCTGTGGCCTTAGCATCCTCCTCTGTAAAATGGGCGCAAGTCTTCCCCTCTATACACACACCTCCTTCCCAACCTCAGTGTCCTCTCCTGGTTTAAGGACAAACTCTGGGCTCTGAGACAAAAGGGGCCCATTCCTGGAATTGCCCATCCCTGGGGAATTGGAGAGGGGTGGGGCCTTCCCTGTCCCCAGACTGTCAGGTGATGGGGGCAGCCTGAGCAACAGTAGGCTGACGGCATCCTCCCCCCCCTCCTTTCCCCCATCTCTGCTGGCAGCCACCGCAGCTGTCAGGAATTAAGGGCTTGAGGCTGCTGGGGGTGGGGGTGGGGCAATGTGGGGAGCAGTCTGGCTGGACAGCAGGAAAACAGCCGGGGGCAGGAAGCAGTCTGCGTCAGCCAGAGCCTTGTTTGACCCTGGCCGCCCCCTGCCCTCCCCACTCTCCTTCGCCATGCTGCAAGGACAAGGACAGCTTGGGACTAGAGTTTGGGAAGAGTATGGGGAAGGATAGGGCAGGACCGGACTCAGCACAGGAAGGAGGCAATGAGCCTGGGCTGAGAGAGGGCACCACAGGGACAAGCCAGGCTGGGGAGTCAGGTGCCCATTGACTGTTGGGGAAACTGAGGCACAGAAGGGATTAGGAAGAGGCCCAAGGTGGGACAGGGAATTCGTTCATGACTTCCTTACTCCCTGGGTAGAGCTCACACTAGCCTTTCCATGCTTGAGGCATCATATGTATCCCCTGGGGTAGGCCATTGTGGGGAATACTGATTCTGGGTCCCATGCAGCTGAATCAGCCTGTCCGGGGTCTGCATTTCTAGCTGGTATCTCAAGTGATTTTCATGAGGACCACATTTGGGAAATTCTGCTGAGCTGCTTGAAAGGTCAATTTTTTTTTTTTCCTTTGACCTGCCAAGGGAAGGTCTCTTTGTCCCCCCCCCCCGCCCCACTCTACTGCTCATGAAATATAGAGGTGTAAAAGAGAAGGAGAAGGCCCTTTCTTTGAAAACCCCAGGAGGCAAATAATGATTTTCAAGCCTTGTTTGCACTGGGATATAATTCTGGCCTGATGTCATGAGGGTCTAAAAGTGCCCAAGCCTGGGGCACTTCTCAGTGCAGGGAGGAGAGTGCATATATAGGCACAGGACCTTGGCATGTGGGGAGAGGAGGCCCAGAAAGAGTGTCTGCAACTGGCACCCCAGTCCCAAATGACCCCTGCCATGGGCAAGCCCCTATCAGCAGCCCCCAGACCCCACCCTGGCCCTGCCCTGGGCCCTGGCCCTCAGCCCAGCCCCAGCCCCCGCAGCCACCAGCTGAGACCACAATTATAGGGGCCACTGGGGGTGGGGGGAGCACCAGGGATGAAAGGCAGCTCAGAGAATGGTTCCAGCTGTGGCAACTCTGGAGGAGGTTGCAGGGAAGGGAGGGCAAGGGGAGGCACCAGGGTGAGAACAGGTGGGACCCTCACGGCCCCAACCCAGACCAGGCCAGGCTCAGTCCCGAGGTTCTGCAAGAGAAGTCTATCTTGGTGAAGAGGAGAGGGAAGGAGCTCCAGACCAGTAAGGGAGGTCTTTGTCTTATCCTCAGGCCTCAGGGACCAGAGCCCCTCAGTAAGGTAAGGGGATTAACTTGCTGCTTTAGTCACCCAAACTCCTGGTTGGTCATTGGAAGGAAGGGGAAATGAGCCCTTGGCCTTAGGCTGATCATGGGCTTTCCAGTAGCTTCCCCACCCTTCTGCCTGCATTCTGGCTGTTCCTGATGTGGTCATGCACACATCTGGGGCGCCTCTGTGCTCTTCCCCCAACTCCCCGGTACCACATGTCCCCCACCACTCAGCCAGCAGGGAACCTTCATGGCTCAGACTGTGCCCTGGGCTGAGCAGCTGGGTGAGCAAGGGGGTGGTGGTGAGGGGGCATTTCTGAGCTCTGGGCCTAGCCTTCTCCCAAGGCAATGTGCAAGAGCATAGAGCTATCTCTGAGCTTAGAGATGACCAAGATAATGGTCAAAATGGTGCCTCTCAGGACAAGGCTCTGACCCTTCACAGAGGGCATTTCCCAGACTTCTGCTGAGCTTGGTCACAGAAGATGGACCACTAGCATACAACTAGCAGTTTGAAGATCGCAATGCCCTCTTACGATGTACTAAAAAGCTATCAGGGGCGCCTGGGTGGCTCAGTCAGTTAAGCGTCTGCCTTCGGCTCAGGTCATGATCCCAGGGTGCTGGGATCGAGTCCCACATGGGGCTCTCTGCTCCGAGGGAAGCCTGCTTCTCCCTCTCCCACTCCCCCTGCTTGTGTTCCTGCTCTCGCTATGTCTCTCTCTGTCAAATAAATAAATAAAATCTTTAA